ATCCGAAAAGAGACAGCATGCACATGGGGTGCACGCTGCTTGTAGGAGCTTATTGGTTCTTGCAGATGATCTGCTCAGGATTTGCTTCGGATTGCGCCACGTACTCGACTTTACTCAGTACAATGTGGAAGTGGCTATTGGTTTTGTTCAGTCTCCATCATTCCTTTCTTGAGTTGGAGGGTGTAGATGACCGCATCTACGGTGTCTGCACTCGAAACTCCTCTTTACAGGTTCCATTGAGAAATGGCATCAATTTATGGCAAAACAACGGAGTCGATTTTTTTGGCATTTTCCCATTTTTGGAGGAATTTTTCTACGGAATCTGAAGAGATGGTGTTGAGGCACGCGACAGTCGTAGAAATCTCTCTATCGTCTGTGAGTCTGTGATGGCACACCCTATCATAGATCAAAATTTCTCCCTTGGCATGGCCCCAAACTTTGAACATCGTCAAGCCCAAATCATAAAACAATGTTTTTTCCTTTCCGTTGGCCTTTTTGTAGCTGCGTTGTACACTGCTGGATTTCCCGTAAGAAATGCTATCGAATGATATATAGGTCAACCCGTAACGAAAACTTCCCTCCACAACCACTTTCTGCATCGGCCTGTCTCTTAGCGGTTTCCTGCAGGGCTCCTGCAGGGCGTGTTTGAATGTGCATGCGGCCGGGTACTGACGTGGCGGGATTTGGGGGCTTCCGAATGATAATTATTTGAATGGGAAATCAGATCTGCTGGTGGTGGGGTACTGAAGTGGTGAGAAGGGGGAATGGATCGATTAATGATTACTTTAGTGGGGGTAAGATCTACAAGTGACGGGGTGCTGTAGTGGGGGGAAAGTGGGGCAGTTTGACTGGGAGTTTTGAGACGGTCTGAAGGAGCGGTTTCCATCGTTCATTTATAATGTGGAGGCTGTAGATAAGTGCATCTAAGGTCTCTGCACTCAAATCTTCCCCTTACAGGTTTCATTGAGAATATGAAATCAATTTAGGGCAAAATAAGAGGCGATTTTTTCGGCAATTTTCAATTTTTGGAGTTTTTCTCCGGAACCTGAGGAGGCGGCAGCGAGGCAATCCACAATTGTAGACTAAACTTTGTGTTCTGCAAGGTTATTATGGTACACCTTACCAAAGATCAACTGTTCTCTCTCGGTATGGCTCCAAACTTCGCTTATCGTCACGCTCAAATTACAAAATTATGTTTTTTTCCCTTGCCGCTTGAATTTTTGCAGTTAAGTTGTATGCTGTTAAACTCTCCGTAAAATGTGCTATCTAATGATTGCTTTTCCTCGGCAGAAAGAGAACTTTTTTTATGACTTGGGCTTGACGAAGTTCGAATTTGGGGCCATACCAAGGGAGGAATTTTGTTCTATGATAGGGTGTGCCATTACAGACTCGCAGATAATAGAGAGATGTCTACGACAGTGGCGTGCCCCAACACCCCCTCAGGTTCCGGAGAAAAATTCCTCCAAAAATCGGAAAATGCCAAAAAAATCGACTCCTTATTTTGCCGTAAATTGATGTCGTATTCTCAATGGAACCTGTGAGGAGGAGTGTTGAGTGCAGAGCCCGTAGATGTACTTATCTACAGCCTCCACGTTATAAATGAACGATGGAAACCGCTCCTTCAGACCGTCTAAAAAGTTCTATTCAAACTGCCTACATTCCCGCCATTACAGTAACCCGCCTCCTGCAGATCTTGCACCCAATCAAACAACTGTTCAATTTCATAGTCCGCCGGCCAATCCTAAAATGATAAAAGATTTGGTTTTTTCACAGGTTTGTCTCCTGCAGATCTTGCACCCAATCAAACAACTGTTCAATTTCATAGTCCGCCGGCCGGCCGGCGGACTATGAAATTGAACAGTTGTTTGATTGGGTGCAAGATCTGCAGGAGACAAACCTGTGAAAAAACCAAATCTTTTATCATTTTAGGATTGGCCGGCGGACTATGAAATTGAACAGTTGTTTGATCGGTTGCAAGATCTGCAGGAGACAGACCTGTGAAAAAACCAAATCTTTTATCATTTTAGGATTGTCTGTCGTGGGAAGTTTCTCTGAAAACGACGAAGTGTCTCAATTTTGGTGAGTGAGCAACCTTCTGCATTTTTCACCACACACTCTCTGTTGAGATCGGAAATAAAGAGGCATTCTTGATTCTGCTCGGAAACCATCCCATCTTCAACTTCAATGAGTCCCGCTCCAACGCCTTATTTTGACAGGCCACCCAGGACCCCGATCAACTCGCAGATGGACTATTTTGATTGTCCTACGTTCAGGAACGCTGTCTTTCCCACCTCTTCTGCCTTTGCCTTCAGTTGATGTTGTTTAACTATTCCATTGAATAGTCTTCTGTAGGCCTCTACTAGAATCACACAAAACTTTGCTATGCATTACTACCCTTCCATGCGATTGAATACAAGTGGAATTGAATAAGCCTTTACCATTCAGACGATATTGGTGCTCCAGCTGCAATAACTGTGCATACTACGAAAAATCCTACATGCGTACTTGGAATTAATAGCGAATGAAGAGAAGTTTACAAATTATTTTTGCGTTAAAAGACTCTGAATAGTGGAGTCCATAACTTCGAGACATATATTTCTACAACAGACCAGACAGTTTTGGCCTATGTAGCCCCATCGACGAAATGGTAAGGCACGCTTGTGGAAAAGCGGGTTATAGCAGAAATTGAGTGCACGACTTTCAATTCTCTTCGAGCTCTTTGATGCTAATAAGCGCAGCGTGCATATTCAACTGTTGAGGCCTCACTGTAAAAGGAGCGAAACCTCCTTCTTTGATCGTGCGTGGGCAAGTGAGGTTCTGGCGATGTTATATGATTTGACTAAGGAACCACTCAAGCAATAAAAAGGCCGCTGAAAAATGGGAAATGCAAAAAGCGTAACTCGTCCATGGTCTCTTGCATATGAGGTGTCTCACGCTCTCTACAGTGCGTTTCGTTAAGGTCACCCTCGAATTTTGCACTTCCAAAAGAAGCAACCATTAAGGATCTTTTCTGGCATCATGAACGGATTCCCCAGCACGAATAACCTAGGTATCCGTTTTCTAGCCGCAGCTGCATTTTTCTGAACTTTTTTAGAACAGTTTATCGGTTTTTGCACCGTTTCATAATTATAAGGTCACCCTGAGAAAGTGAATAATTATTGATGGAAGAGAGGAAATTTCGTGTTTGAAGATACTCATAAAGGTAAGCATGTGTAGCAAATGCATTTCTAAACCTGGCTGTCAACATGGCTCGTAGTCATCTGCTTTCCTCTGGTGAGAAGGCTCAGCATGAAGGTGGGCGCAGTACTTGAGCCATCTCCAGGCAAATAGGGAGATCCCCTTGGACCATTCAAAGTTTTATGGAGAGCCTTGATGTC